ATCATGCCAAGACTAGGTACAAAATCAATAATAGGAAAACACTGATATACAGTTTTTAAAAGTTCATATACTGCCCTCTTCCCCTCCCCATGACCCACCCAAATCATCTCTCCCCCTTAAAAAAACTACCCCAAATTATAAAACTATTGCCCAGGCAGGCAGTGAGGGAAGGGACGCAGAGGAGATTTATCATACGTGTGGACCTCCATATTTCATTATGTACCTACAAGTCCCTGCAAAGGACTGAGTACTAAGTGAAATAACACACAAAACATAGCAAACATTTATATACATTAAAAAAAATTTTACACGCACGCACACGTGCACACACACACACACACACATACTCTGTCCCTCACTCACTGAGAATCCTCCCACCCCACCCCTCCAAAAAAAGAAACTAAACATCTATTCTTCTACCACTGCCCGCCAGGCAATGAGGGAAGGGAATAGGGGAGATTTTTCATAGAATCAATCTCAACTTTGAGCAAGTACCTTAACAGTCATGCAAAGGACTAGATTCAAAATGAAGCGAATGCCAAAAAGAGGCAGAAACATTTATATACGTTTAAAAAATCACCTAACTTACCTAATAAGCCCATTCCCCATTAAGAAGTTCAAACACAACAAACACCGAGTCCTACAGTACTCTCATACAATCGTGCACAGGCTACAGGGGAAGAGAAAAACGGTTTATCACACCTCTGGAGCTGGGCCTCTGCACTACACTTGCACATCTACAAATCCAAACAAAAAAAAATCAGTTCAAAGGAAAAGAGCAGAACAACAACAACAACACCACAGCAGACATTTATATACATTTTTAAAAATGTAAACCCAGAAATCCCCCCACCACCCTGCCAAAAAACCCCCTCTAAACAACTGCGCCGCTAGTCATTGCCCGGTCAGGCAATAAGGGAAGGGGAGAAGAGGAGATTTTTTTCATAGAATGAACCTTAATTTTCATCATGTACCTAAATACCCATGGAAAGATCTAGGTACAAAATGTAGTAACAGAAAAAAGGAACAAAAATATTTATATACATTTTAAAAAGTACATATCCCCCATCCTCCCAGGGGAGGGAGGGGTGGAGTAAAAAAATTAATCTAGAACTACTCTAAAACTATTGCCCACTTGGGCAATAAGGGGAGGGGACAGGAGGAGATTGTCATACATCCGGACCTCCACGTCTCATTGGGTACCTCCACGTCCTAGGAAGGGACGGGGTACAAAATGGAGTAACACAATACAGTAACAAACACTGTACATACAGTTTTCAAAAGTATATATCCTGCCCTTAGTCCCTTCCCACCCCCCAAGACTTCAAAAAACCCAAACCACTTGAAAATTATTGCCTACATAGATAAAAAGGGAAAGGGAGAAGAGGAGATTGCTATACATCTGGAACTCCATGGTTCATTAGGAACCTACGTGTCCAAGTGAAGGACTGGGTACCCAGTGAAATACTATAATAAGGAAGTAAAAACATGGATATATATATATATATATATATATTTAAAAAACGTTAACCCCAAACCTACAAAAGAACCCCTGAAACTAAGTATCTACTCTACTAGTCACTGCCCACACGGGCAGTAAGGGGAGGGAACGAGAGGAGATTGTCATACATCCGGACCTCCACGGTTCACTGGTAACTTCCAGTCAGGGCACCCAATGAAATAACACATCTTGGTAGTAAAAACAGGTATATACAGCATGTACACATCCCTTCCCCCAACCCTGCATCCCCCCCCGCCACAAGCCCACTCCAACAACTACTCTACTAGCCATTGCCCACACGGGCAGTAAGGGGAGGGGACGAGAGGAGACTGTCATACACCCGGACCTCCACGTCCCATTGGGTACTCTGACGTCCTCTGAGGAGGATACAGTACGAAATGAATAAGGAATACAAAGTAGTAGGAAGTCTATTCATATACACTAAGTACATACCCTACTTTCTCCCACCCCACAACACATCAGCTACCACCCAAGAAGGCAATAAGGAATGGGGCAAACAGGAAATCTGTCATACTCTGAACCTCAATTTTCACTAAGTATGTATGCACACATGCAAAGGAACACATATAAAATGGAAACATTAAAAAAGGAGCATAACACATATATGCATACATCTGCTCCCACCCCACAAGACGAGATCCCAACAAGAGCAACTACAACCACTCTATTAGTTGTTAGCAACAAGGGGAGGGGTGCACGGGACATCTGTCGTACTTCTGGACCGCCACAGTTCATTAGGTATCTACGCACCCGTGAGAAAGATGAATGAAGTGCAAAGTGAAATAACACCCACAAAATAGCAGCAAAACCATTTTGTACACATTTTAAAAAGAACATACTCTGCTCTCCCTCCAGTATCACCATCAACTTCCAAAAAAGAGACGTCAAATAACTACTCTGCAGCTGTTACCCACATAGGCAATACGGGAAGGGCAGAAGAGATTTCCACAGGACGGTGTCTCACTCTTTATCAGAAGCAAGTATACAAAATGAAAGAAAATAAAAATAGATCAAAACCACACATGTACATTTAAAAAGTATATAGCCCCTCCCCCGCCAAGAGCCACTCAAAGACATCAATCAACTATTCTACAAGGTATCGCACGTGCAGGCGAGAAGGGAAAGGGGGGACAGGAGATTGATCCTACATGTGGACTCCCACTTTTCATTCAGGACTTCCTGCCGGCACAGAGAAAAAAGCACAAAATAAAAGAATGCAAAAAATAGCAAAAATACACACATTACTTTGTTTTTTTTTTTAAGTACAAATGGGAGTGTCAGAGGGGGAAGAGAAGAAGCTCTTTAGAAAGAGAATTCATTCCAATAAAAACCAAACAACAAAGGCAAAGGGGAGAAAAAGAGCTCTATCATACCTACGAAATTCAGATCTCATTTTGCAAACTCCGCCCAGGAGATGCTGACCTCGGCGATGATACGTGTCCTGAGCTCATACACCTTCTCTGCAGTCCCATGAAATGAACGGGTTACCTGAATACTCGGCAATCCAACCACACATTACAGTTCCAGGTGCTTTAGTTTGCATAGGCTCTTAAAATGCAACTCAGTAACAGGCTACCGGTAATCCAACAAACTCAGCACTGAACTTTCATTCCTTACTTTCCAATATTCAGAAAGGACTCTGTTCTGGTCCCAGGGAGACTGACGCAGCCCCCGAGCCTCTACATACCCAGGACTCTTCTGACAGCTCTTTTGCTCCTACAGAGGCTAACGTACGATAAAAGGAAAACCCGAATGGCAAAGAGTATTAGAATTAAGCAGAACCTGGGATGGTAAAATGGTAGGAAAGTTCAGGAGCACTCACACAATGGCAACACAGTTTCACTCACAGGGATTTATAGCAAACAATGCCCTGGAGGAAGGCCCAAGCTTGGGGTGGGACCCGACGCTACCTGCAGTTTAATATATCCAATCTCTTGCTGTTAACAAACTGGATGCCTTAGATTTCTACTACCAGATCTCCAAAGCACAAGTCTTTCTTCTACAATTCTCAATTTCCAATTTTACCTTTCTTAATCATCCAGCATAATGTGCCTCTTCTACTACGTTCAAGCAGCTCATGTCTCTGCCATGAACGTTAATACTCGGCGGCGTCACAGATCTGTGCGTGCACATGACCAACCAAGCGCTATGACTGCAGGAATGTACATGGGAGTTCGCAGAGACACCGTGGCTAAGACAAAGTGGGGGGGTGGTGGTAAAACTTCAAAAGCTACAGTTATGCCTGTCATGTCACATGTCCTATCTATTACATAGACTTATCTTCCTGACTCAAGAGTTCGTTTTTGGAAGTGCCATAGAGATGGGTTAGCTTGACTTGAAAATTATGGAACTCTGTGGGAAAATGTGAGGTGAGGGCTACTAAAACTACAAATACTTGAGGTGAGGCCTACAAATAGAACTATAACCAGCAGGGATCCGGTATCATGGGAATGAACAGGTTGTGAGTACAAAGAAAGCAATGAATTACAAGTTACCTCTTTTTTTAGCCCATGTTTTGATAAGGATTTACTTAAACATTACCCTCTGCCCACACACACACACACACACACACACTCAGGAAAAATGATATAATTCAAGACAAGATTTGCCATATGCAGAGTTAACATACATTACGGGAGCAATGTAAAGATGGGCAGGTATAACTGAAAAATCTTAACTGATGTTGAGAAGTAGCAAAATTTAAACTCTGTATCAAAGTGGAATTCAGTAATATAACATGGTAAAAAACCAGCAACCAAAAAACCCCTCAAAAGTTTAGTATTTTTCCCCACTCTAAAAATATAAAAACACACTAACTTCCAATATCAACTAAAGTATCATTCATCTGCTAAAGCACAAGAGGAATAAAGACCTACAATCACCCCAGTTTCAATAAGACGTCTTTAGAGGATTCTGTGATTCTCAGGATATAATAGTTTGTACTCAGAACCAGAGGTAAATGTTTAGAAAAGACTAAATTGGGGGAAAACACACTAGGATTAAAGAAAGCTACCTTTTAGCTTGCCAGCATTTTAAATTTTGTTATATAAAAATACTTTCATAAAGTAAAATATAATTTTATACACCATCCCACATATTTTCACTGTATACCTGCTAACTTAAAAAAGGTGACCTTTCCAATTGATTCTCTGGAGTGTTTTAAGTGCTCACAAATGGGTATCTACCCTTTTTATGTACACAGAAGATGTTTTCAAAGAAAATATAAAGTACTCAATTATTAGGAAGAAAACTTTTCCCCTAAGAATCAAAGAAACTCAACAATCTAGATATTAAGTCTGCATAGCTCAAAAAATTCAAGTACAGTATTTCTCCTTTACAAGGAGTGAAAATGCCATACAGTTTTAGAAATCTTCCCTTTTCTTTCTTTCTTTCCTTGGCCATTCTTTTTAATCAGTTACTTTGGCCATGATAAAAACAAAATAAAACAAACAAAACCCACTGATTTTTCAACTAAAGAAAAGTACTATTTTGATAGTAGAAAAAATTCAAAGCCCACCATATTAAATCTGAATCAAGTTACTCCTATCCCACATTCTCTTTATTCCTTTAAGGTACTATGGTGAACTTCAAATAAAAATGTTCAATTTCTCAAAGACCCTATTTTAAAATATGCTTCTAATATATGCTACCATATAACATGAAAATCTACACAGGTATGACTCACAGAGAAAGTGTCTATGATCGGGTAATGTCAAAGGCAACCTAAACTAATTCTAGTAACAGTGATAGTCATGATAAAAGACAACAGTATTAACAAAATGCTTGCCATAAGTGTAGACATATTCCTCTATAACGTAAGATGTACCTATGGCAGGGAGTAATAAAGGTGTATAGATTTGGAGAATACTGGAATTCATAAATAAAATAATTATAATTAAAGCTAACTCAGTTTGAAACAGTTTCCTAAAAGATGAAAAAATAAGTATTACCTATTTGGAAAATTTAATCTTTTGTCCTTGTTACTTAGTTTTTCAGTACAACAAAAATTTAAAAGTTCTGTAGCACCTGGCTGCCCTGCAGAAAAAAAATATAAGTTATAGATCTTATTTAAACTTTGTTTCAGAAAATAAAGGATTAATCAAAACCTCAAACCAAAGTAGATCTGCACACCTGAGATCGGTTTTCTAACAGCTGTAGGATTCGTCAACTTCATTGCCATAGCTTTTGAAGCTAAGTTTTGTACCACATTCAAGTAACATCTATCGTCTATCACTAAGAAGCAACAAATGGCTGACAAAGCAGCGCCTGCAAAGATGGCGGCTCCCACGGTAGATCCTTCCTTGTTGCACTGTGCCAGTACTTTCCGGATACTGAGAAACAGAACAGAATGCCAAAACAGATGCTTTTCCCCCATTTGCGTATCTTCGAAGTAGAAAAATTACTGTTTTTGTAGATGTTGGCATACAGGTGAATATAATTTTGTAATAAATAACTACATACTGCCCAAAGACAATTCAAGAAAGATGAAAAATACAGACGGGCCCTGAGCGAACTAGAACTCCTAAGAGCGCCAACAACTCGGCAGCGATTCTGGCTTCACCTTGGCTTTTTGCAAAAGCAGCAGAGCCCATGTTAACTAGCTCTCTGAATGGGCGACAAAATGGGGCGCAGCTGTGCATGCTAGAGCCACCACGTCAGAGTTTTGAGGTTCTTCTCCATCCATCGGATATTCAACTGGATGACTTCCAAAGCCTCCTGGACACAGCGAAGCCGAAAGGTTGCCTCTGACTGATTTTCAAAGAACGTCTGGACCTGTAAGTTGCACGCAGAAGTATTTCAAAAGAACAGTAAATCACAGGTAACTCTGAGTATCCTTTTCAGATAAGCTTTAACTCAGTGAGTCATGGCTATGCTGAGGTCTTGGAAGAAGTACAGACAAGAAGGACTTTATTTATTTATTTTTAATTTTTTTTTAAAGATTTTATTTATTTATTTGAGAAAGAGAGATAGCAAGAGAGAGTAAGAGCAAAGCGGGGGAGCAGGGAGAGGGAGAAGCAGGCTCCCCACTGAGCAGGAAGCCCGACACGGGACTCAATCCCAGGACCCCAGGATCATGACCTGAGCCAAAGGCAGAGGCTTAACCCACTGAGCCACCCAGCCGCCCCCAAGTACTTTAATATTCAAAGTATTTACATCAAGTTCCTGATCACACATGGTGAAATCTGAAGTAATTTTAAAAATGAATTCCCCTTATGCCCACAAGGATGAATTTTTCCAGTTTAGAATGGAAAAACAAAAAAGCCAAATAACAGTAAATGAAGTAGTCTGAAGTTAGAATTAATGCCCAGTTCTACCCTTGGAATGGAATTCTTCAAAACCATTTTATTACCACTTAAAAAGAGAGTTGGCATATGCTGGTCTTAATTCAAAAACTGATTTGTATCAGGCAGACGAGGGAATACTGTTGAGAATGGAATCAGAATTCTTCCTCATCAGAATTTGTCTTCATTGCTGAGGATCCCCCCTTAAGAAATAATCCCAGGGCAGAATCACTGGCACTGACCAAGGCCGACAGAGAGAAGGGGCAGAAACTGGCATGACAAGGCACTGTCTGACTTAGACTGAGCAGCCTACGGGGAAAGGGTGACCCAATCTCCCTGCTAACATTCTATACAACCAACCTCAGACAAATGCGCCTTTGTTGAAAACAGGTGTGTCGACCCAGCAACAATACTTTGTATGGTATAGGACCCCAGATGAAACCTGAAGAAACAAAAATTTAAGAGCAAAAAGAGCAAAAACATGAGGCAGTTTTTGAGAAGCAAATGTCCTGAATGCAAAGGAATTACTTGACTGTACATTACACAGGCCAAAGGCGGACTGGGAGTCCTGCTCCTGGGTAATGAAGCTCAGTAAATCAGAAATAACCGCACATGCCCTCTCACTACCAGTGGGAAGGAAAGGTGGCAGAAAGAAGCAGGAGTTATGGATACCCAGATAAATTATGAATTCATTTAATCGATTCAAAAATCACACCTTACCCCCAGAAATGCCATTACTATTTTGAAAGCAAAAAAGTCCTCCGTTGCTGTCTGGGTGGGTGTGAGTTCCTCTCCAATCTCTTGGCAATGACGAGGTATTTTTCAACACACATAACTGAACAGCTATTCTGAAATAGTCCATGGCCAGGTGAAGTGAAGTGACCTAAGTGTCAAGCATGGCTGGGTGTAATGAGTACCCGAATGGAGCACCACTGTCAAACGACTCATGTTACAGGATTACATTTACAAGGGTGAAAATTTCTGGGTGTTTCAGTTAAACTGTCACTGAAACATTTTTCCTCTCATAGCAGATCTTAAATCCTGTGAATCAACACAACATTGGAAACAGTTTCAAATGAAGAACGGGAGAATACTAAAAATTAGTAGTTATCTGAGAAACTCACTTCTGTACAAGCTTGTTCCAGTTCTCTTTGACAAAATCCCATGCCAACAAGTGTCCAGGAAAATGTCGGCCAACTGTTCTAATGATGAATGACAGCTTTTGTGTTCGGATGATATCTCCACTGAGGCTATTTTTCATTAACCTGAAGAGCAAAGCAGAGTTAGTTTCCAAAATTAGTATTTGTCATGAAGTGATCACTGAACTTAAAATCAGTGCTGGTCTCCTAATTAAGGTTCTGAAGCAATTCAAAGCATGTAAGTTTTGGGTTGGTCTAAGATTGATCAACAGATTGAAAACCTGTCATTTTTTTAAATGAAGGGAGAACTCACCAACAAGATAAGGACTTAAATATACTGTCACATAATAATCAATAGTTCTTGATGTAGTAAGGACATTTAGGAAATAAATTCAGGTAGAGTTTATTATAACTCTGAAGACTGGATTTGTTGTTGTTGTTAAAAACCTTATTTGATATGAGTAGATAGGTATATTGCTACTCTTAAAAAACTGGGCTTTATATGTACTAGATTATGTTCTAAATTCTTGACACAACAAGGCTTGAAATAGGGAATCATTACCTATCTCCATGTTACCATTTAAGAAACTGAGGTTATGTAAAATTGACAGAGTTAACACAGCTGATGAATACTAAAGCCTGGTATGGAAACAAACGCAATTTTCATCTATCGGGCTACAATACCTGTTTTGAGCGGGAAAACACATATCCCCAAAAGAATGCAGAATGAGTTTTACTGGGAGGAAAAACCCAAATGCCCAACGAGATGTGATGGATTAGATAAATTCTGATAGAGCCGTACTGTGCGATACTGTGTAGCCACAGAAACAAATGAAAATATGCTTTATGAATGAACAGGGCAAATCTCAAAGACTGGTCATTCACTACAAAGAATGTTACAGAACACCGGCTACAGTATAAACCTATGTTCAATATATAAAATACACACCTGGACGGACACTGTTAATAGAGAGAAGAGAATAAGACTGGAAGTGACGGGTCATATGAGAGGGACTTTCACATTTTATTCCGTTTCCTCAGGTACTGTTTAAGTACTTCATAATGGGGGATTTATTGGTGTACTACTAGTTCAAAACAAAATTATTATTAATTTAACAACAAAAACTTTTCTCTCTTTGCTTGGGTCAGAGGCTGGCTACTACTTTAAAGAAAATGACTATTTACAGTGCGTCCTCTGGAAAGTGGGTCTGGGCAGGTGCCAAGAACATCTCTGGAACAGAATGATTTACCTGAGCAAAGTTATGCAAGAGAAGCAATGAGAGCCAAGTGCCTCTCCTTTCCTTCCCGCTGCTGACTGTCAAGATACTTGTGCATTTCTCCTGGTTACTTAGAGCTCCTCTACCCTGACCCTGATTGTTCTTGCTGCCAGGAAGCCCTATCTACTGCCCTTCTTACTCCATGTGACCCTACCATCTCTAGCTCTCCATCCACTGGATATTAAAAAGGAAAGGTCTGGGGCACCTGGGTGGCTCAGTCGTTAAGCGTCTGCCTTCAGCTCAGGTCATGATCCAAGGGTCCTGGGATCGAGCCCCACATCGGGCTCCCTGCTCACCTGGGAGCCTGCTTCTCCCTGTCCCTCTGCTGCTCCCCCTGCTTGTGCTCTCTCTCTATTAAATAAATAAAATCTTTAAGGAAAAAAAAAAGGAAAGGTCTGACAAATTCACATGAATGTATAACCTATGGCTTTTACGTGTTATCTTGTACTGAAGTCTCTGCATTTTCAAAATGATAGCTTGGAGAGAGCAATGCCTTGACCAAAAAAGAAAATGAAGCACGAACTGTGGAATCAAAAACAACATGCCAAATGACCAAGAAGTTTTTAAGCACAAAGTAGAAGGGGACTGTGATTTTTGGCATCTCCCAATCTCTTTTAGGCAAAGCACCTCCTGCCCATCTGTACAGGTCCAGGCCCTGAGACGAAGCCCAACACATGCGGGCTCCTCCCCACACCGTCCAAGTCAAGGCCAGCCCACAAGGAAAGGCAGAAAGAGGGAGATCCCAGAGAAAATGAGCTCCTCAAACCTAGGAGCACCATGTTTTTATGCTTTTGGTTTCTATATATCATATTGCTTGGGTGGTTTCGTACCAGTAAAGTTTCCGTACATCCTCTGAGCTGGCAAGAGCTTCAAGTATTTTATTCTTCTCTGCTTCAGAGTCTATAGAGACATACTTGCTTAACAGGAATGACCAGCCTTTCTCTGTTTTTGCTCCAACCTTGAACACAGTACTCATGACATCAGTAGGTAGGCTGTAAGAAAGGTACAAATATGAGAAAAACAAGGAAAAGAAATCCTGAATACAAAGGCAAGGAATTGACTAGTGGTGCTTGCAGAGTCAGAGCAGGTAACAAAGGAGTCTTTACAACTCATTGTCAAGAAAACATTTAATTCAGTGGGTTGCTACTTCCCTGGTGGTGTGACTATAAAGAATATCAATTCAACTTAATGCAGTAATTCTTCACTGAGCAGTCTCTGCCCTCTAGGAACTCAGAGGCTATCAAAACGTACAGAATAAATCAATGTATTGCCACGTAGTGTGACAAGTTCCATGGTGGAAATATAGCAGCAGGTGTGAGGGGAGCGGTCATAAGAGGGGAAGAAGCACAGTTTTCTGGCCTTATTAAGATCTCAGAGCTGGAAAAGACCTCAGAAGGTTATCCCAATCCCCCACCCCAACTCTCATCTGATGCTTGAATCTATTTCCATAATGCCCAGTAAGGAACATGGAGAGAACCAGTCATCATCAAAAACATGTCTACTTGGGGCGCCTGGGTGGCTCAGTCATTAAGCATCTGCCTTCGGCTCAGGTCATGATCCCAGGGTCCTGGGTCCCAGAGTCCTCCCACTCCCCCTGCTTGTGTTCCCTCTCTCACTGTGTCTCTCTGTCAAATAAATAAATAAAAATAAAAAAAAAAAGTCTACTGACTGCTATCTCCACTTGCTATGTTATAGCCCTAAATTATAAGAGACTTGTTTGACAGCTCTCAACCATTCCAATGGCTGCTATAAAAAAGCAGAAAACAAGAAGCCTTGGTGAGGATGTGACGAAACTGGAACTCCTCTGCCCTACTGGTGGGAATGTAAAATGGTGCTACCACTATGGAAAACAATATGGTGGTACCTTAAAAAATTAAAAATAGATCTACCATATGATGTAGCAATATCACTTCTAGGTATAGATCTGAAAGAATCGGAAGCAGAGTCTTGAAGAGATATTTGTATACCTATGTTCACAGCAGCATTATTTGTAAAAGCCAAAAGGTGGAAGCAACTCAAATGTCTATCAATGGATGAAGGAATAAACAAAATACGGTGTATACGCACAACGAACATATTCAGCCTTAAAGAGGAAGGACATTCTAACACGTGCTACAACATGAATGAGCCTTGAGGACATGTGAAACAAGTCAGTCAGACAAAGACAAATACTGTACATTTCACTCACATAAGGTATTCAGAGCAGAAAAGAGAAGAGTGGCTGCCGGGGGCTGGGGACTGGAGAAAACGGAGAGTTGTCTGGGTAAGGAGTTCTAGTTTTGCAAGACAAAAAGTTCTGGAGATTCATTGCTCAACAATGTGAATATACTTACACTACGGAACTGTACACTTAAAACATGTTAAGATAATTAACTTTATGTTTTATATATTTTACTACAATTCGAAAAAACAGTCTTGTTTGACAATGCAAGTACACACATCACCTACGTTAACACTCAGGATGAAAAGATCCTGGTTTCAGTATATGGTATCAAGGTAAGGAAGAGGCAGAGAGCTCATTTGAGTAGAAGTGCATGTCACCTTTGAGTTCCGTTGGAGGCCACCCAGTCATCAAACAGCGTCATGGCTGTGGCACTGCAGTTCTCAAGGCCGTGGACGCAAGCAAACTCCAGCAAGACTGACCGAAGCTCCCGGGCACACGGGGAGCCTTCATCAGTCCAAGTCTGCTGCTGGATTTGGCTTCGAAGTAATTTAGATACCCTGGTCTACAGAGACAAATTGTTAACAATAATTAGGACAATCACAGAAAACTCAGGATGGCTAGATATTTTTCCCCCAGCGTTTACCCAAGGAGAAAATAGGAGGGCCTAGGTATTACTCAGTAAATATCGACTGACAGAGGAGGCCCATGTACAGCTGGGTGAAACCATTCAGTAACAAAGACTACACATCGGCTGCTATTGCCGGGGAGGGGGGGTGTCTCTTAGTTACATGACAGAGAAAGAACTGATGACTGCACTAAAGTAGTGACCCTGTCTTCTGTGTGCACTCAGTGAGAAGATATTTTCCTGCCAAAAAGTATCTCCTATTGCCACTGCCAGAAGCGAGTTGGGACTTTCTGACTTTAGACTCCATAAATCCATAAAACAATGAGAGAAGAATATACTTCTTTACCGACAGGTAGATGTTTTAATGTTTCTGAATGCAATATTAAAGGCATACTTAAAATATCAACTAGTGTGATGATCTAACAAGTTAATCCAATCGAATTAGCAAGAAAATGGGGCGTGCAGGCAAGAAGAGTTGTTTATAGTTATTTCCCCACCCTCAACTATATATTTAAAAAATTTTCAGACCTGTAGTAAAGCAACAAGAAGAGCACAGTGAATACCCATATGCTAGATTCATTGGTTTGTAACACTCCTACGCCCCAGAAAATTAGTTCAAGTTCTTTATAGAGCATCTTGTTCCTCCAGAGCACCACTGTCAATACCTAAAATGAACCCTAGTTGGAGCGTTTTAAACTGCTGATGCCATTTTCTCAGCAGCCCTTCTCTAAGTAAGTCTCCTGTGGAGCTATGAGAAAGAAAAAAAGGAATCTGTGCAAGGAGAAGGACTCAGAGTTTGTGATAACATGTCAACTCGCTTTTGTTTGCTTCAAAAGCAATGGAATAGAGAACAGACACCTTGTGGAATGTGTAACAAAGCCTGCGAGTTATTGAGAGGACATGAGGTGGAAAAACACTTGCCATGCTGACGGATAAGCCAAGGGACATGAAAGCAACGCAGGGGATCCTACGGACACACACGGCTGCACTGGACGTGCTGTCTGCCACTGGCCTGATGTTCTCAGTGGCACGAGAGCAAACCATCCCAAATGAACACAGGATAAAAGAAAATTCAAAGCTACTCATAACTGTCAAGTAGAAACAAAAGGAGAATGAGAGGAAAAAAAGTTACATGCTTGAGATACTACTAAAAAAAAAAAACTCAGTGGAGAAAAATGTCAGTGAGAGTTTACTAAAACATACAGACCTACAAGCAGGAAAAAAAAAATGGCCCATTAACGTACTGGAAGCAAGGGAAGCCTGACACTTGAAGGTGCTAAGGCTAGTTCCTGAGCAATTACTCCGCTGGAGTTACAGGGTGCAATTTTACTAGTTATTTCTGGTACCAAATATTTAAGATGAAATCCCCAAGGAGTTAATTTTACATATATTTCAAATGATAACAGAGCAAAAGATTTTATTTTAAAAATAATTCTGTTTTTAGAATATTCCCACTTTATCATTTTTATTAAGTAATCCAGGTTATATTTTTAATATTAATAAATCATATAACAAGTGCTTCTTTATTGAAGCAAGTGCTTCAAACAGAGAACCTGTTTTTCCATGGTTCTAATTTTTTTTTTTAATTTAAACTCATTAAACAATAGAATCCGATCCTCTGATTTCATAAAATGAAAACGGCAAGTGGGGAGAGAAAATAAATGGATGGGTTATACAAGCTACAAACATTGGGTATGCAATAAAATGCAAGAATAGTTACACAAAATGATTTTTAAAATAAAACAGACAGGAAAGATGGTGGCACTTATATTATGTATTACATTTTGATTTATTGCTTTAATTTTACACTGATATGCCCAGGGAGTTCTTTCTTGGGTCAACTCAGCTTCTTAAAAGTGAAGTGTCAGCTTTTATTGCAAAAGTTTTACCCCACCAATCCCTCATATATAAAAGAATGACAGACTTGCAAGTGATGAAACAGGAATATGGCTGGGATCAGATGTTAACATCAGATGTGAACGATTTGACAAAATTCAAAAGTACCTCCAGAACCTATCTACCCCAACACCACAGCATACATCACAAAATGGATATAGATGTATGTGTTATATAGGTATGTGCAGCCTAGATAACAAAATGACCAATATATGTCCTGGTGACAACAATATAAAAAATTAATTAGACACCAGTCTTAATCACAAATACTATTTGAAGATTGGATCCAAGGACTCAGAAATGTCTGCCATTCCATCTCTAACTATAGTATCAGATTTTATATTTTGAGAGCTTTGATGGTACCAGAACGCCCTCCGAATTTTAGAGACAGTTTCTCCCTCTTGATGACCTAAAGCTAACCTGACTTTTAACTAACAATCAAGTGTACGAAATCTCCAGCAATACAAGGGCCCATAGGCTCACAAACACACACTAAGCCTGCCCTTGTCCTCTACGCATCCATCCCCTGGGCCCCAGCCTGACGTATGTTCTTAATAAATACATGCCTGCCCAGCAAACTGGAAATCATCATCTGGGATGATGACGCAGAGTTACTCGAGTGTCAAATAAAGAAAATATTCAAAAGATCTAACTCCTTAGACTGAATTTAGCATCTGTGTTCACAGCATAGAGACAGCCTGAGGTAAGTATCAAGTGCTTTCTGACATTAGGCTCTCAAAAGAGTTATTGGAGAGAGGCAGGGGGAAGAATGGCTTCTGCCACCATGAAATTTAACTAGCTGGGCAGCTTCAAGAACATTCTGCTAACTCTTAAAGTGTATTCACTACCAGCATGATCCTTCAATAGTAAGAAAAAGAAAAAAATGAGTGATATGTACTAAAGTTATTTATTGCTACCTATACTAGGTTGAATAGTGTCCCCCCAACATTCATGTCTGCTTAGAATCTGTGAATGTAAACTTATTTGGGAACAGGTTTTTGCAGATGTAATCGATTTAAGATAAGGTCATACTGAATTATGGTGGGCCCAAATCTACTGACTGGTGCATATATAAGAACAGGGAAATTTGGACACAGAAACAAAGAGAGAATGTTATGTCAAGACAGAGGCAGAAATTGCAGTGATGCATCTACAAGCTAAGGAATGCTAAGTACTGCTGGCAACCACCCGAAGCTAGGAGAGATGCAAGAAGAGATTCTCCCTCAGAAGGAATCCATCTGCCCTGCCAACACCTTAATTTTGGCCTTCTAGCTTCCAGAACTGTGAGAGAATATGTTTCTGTTGTTTTAAGACAGTAAGTTTGTACTAACTTATTATGGCAGCCAAAGGAAACTAAATTACTACCCCAAATGGTGTTGATTTGATATAGCATTAATAACCTCCAAAGTAATCATAAAAATTCAATAGTAAAAAAAAATCTATGTATACAATGAAGCACACTGGTGCTGGATCAACTGGATGGCCATATCAAAAAAAAGAATCTTTGTGTCTAACTCATACCATACACAAAAATCAATTCCAGATGGATCATAGTTCTAAATGTGTAAGGTAAAATCATAAAGTTTTCAGAAGAGAACAAAGGAGAATACCTGTGGGTTGGCAGATTTCATACACAAAAATTAAGAATTACGCTAATCAAAAAGCATCATTAGGAGACTGAAAAAGCAAGCCTGAGGGGGAGAAGATACTTGGAAATGTACATGAGCAACAAAGGACTCCTATCTTGAATATATAAAGAGCTCTACAAATCAATCAGAAAAAGGCAGAAAATCCAATAGAAAAAACGTTAAAGACCTGGGCACTTAACCAAAGTGTACCTCCAACGGTCAATAAACAAATCAAAAGGAATTCATCTTCACTAGTCATCAGGGAAATACAAAGTTTTTTTTAGAGATTTTATTTATTTATTTATTTGAGAGAAAGAGAGAGCACGAGAGTGGGGTGAGGGGCAGAGGGAAAAACAGACTCCCCACTGAGCAGGGAGCCCAATGTGGGACTTGATCCTGGGACTCCAGGATCATGACCTGAGCAGAAGGCAGATGCTTAACCAACTGAACCACCCAGGCACCCGGGAAATACAAATTAAAGCCAAAATTGCAATATCACTATGCATTCATCTGGATGGCTAAAAGGAAAAAGATTACTATTAATACAAAGTGCTGACAAGGATATAGAGCCAAAATAGAACTCAAATTCTCATGCACTGCTGATGGAGCACAAACTGATATACCGTTGAACAACGATTTGATAGTACAGTATTAACTATAAATATGTTATGACTCAGCAATTCCACTTCCAGACACATACCCCATAGAAATGCATACATATATGCAACAAAGATATATATAAGAATATTCATAGCAATGCTATTCGTAATAGCTCCAAACTGCAAACAACTCAAATGTCCATCTGTAGTAGCTGAAGTGGCTACCAAAAGGCCAATCTCTTTCATATACTAACAGTACAAAGTCGGTGTTGGATTCTAAGTGTCTCCTAAAGAGACCAATAAGTTATTTGCATACTTCTTGGAAATGCACACAAATACTATAAAAAATTTTATTAACATTTTGGATATAAAAGAAATCTCAAATACTAAGTTGACAACTTTATTTTCAAGGGCACTAGATGTAGGTCTGTCATCTTAAACCTTAAACACATGGTCTACAAGTTTTTCAAATGGTTTTAATTTATAATCTCAGTTTTAAAAAATGATAGCAGCAAAGAAACAGCCTTGATTTTTCCAACCAAAAGGTATCCTTTGAAAGATGACATTGCTAGAATACAAATTAATTTAAAATACAGCAACATAACACAAACTGGGCTTCAGAGTGGAACTAATCTGGGTTTGAAGCTCAGCTTTGTAATTTACTACGTAAGTAGTAAATTAGTGGAAGTTATTTAGTCCCCCCACTTATCCAATGGGAGTAGAAATATCTGTCTGGCATTGTGTGAGGATTAAACGAGATAATCTACAGTAAGCACTTAAGCATGGTGTGCAGAATATAACAAGCACTGAAATGAATCAGTTTCTGGTGTGTTTCACTCATTTGTTTGCTCAGTATTTACAATGGGCTGAGTCACATTCTGAAGACACTGGTTTTTATTAAGGATGGTAAGAGAGAGCCTCTGATACAGAAGAATGATAAAAATCTTAACAATTAGGGCGCCTGGGTGGCTCAGTTGGTTAAGCGACTGCCTTCGGCTCAGGTCATGATCCTGGAGTCCCTGGATCGAGTCCGGCATCGGGCTCCCTGCTCGGCAGGGAGTCTGCTTCTCCCTCTGACCCTCCCCCCTCTCATGCGCGCTCTCTCTCTCTCTCTCTCTCTCATTCTCTCTGTCTCAAATAAATAAATAAAATCTTTTAAAAAAAAATCTTAACAATTAGAAAAGACCTCAGAAATCATCTAACTTGGGGCGCCTGGGTGGCTCAGTTGGTTAAGAGACTGCCTTCGGCTCAGGTCATGATCCTGGAGTCCCTGGATCGAGTCCCGCATTGGGCTCCCTGCTCAGCGAGGAGCCTGCTTCTCCCTCTGGCCCTCCCCCCTCTCATGTACTCTCTCTCTCTCTCTCATTCTCTCACTCTCTCAAATAAATAAATAAATCTTAAAAAAAAAAAAGAAATCATCTAACTTAAGCATCACACTTATGGGTGGCTCCTTTGGGGTCAGATCAGAGACCTGGGGGGAAGGGTGCTTCTCAAGCTCCATACGGCCCATCAGCTGTGCCTTGCCTCCCCCCACTGTGAATAGTGTGTGATGGGAGAACTCATCACAGAAGATGTGCAGCAGCCTAGTAAGAGGCAGAAAGGAGGTTGTTTAAAAGAAAAAAAAAAAAAGATGTAATCCAACCTCTTCCTTTCACCAGTGAGGACACCGAAACCCTAACAGACATTCTAATTTCTGGTTCAATACTTTCTTCCTTTTTCTGAAAGCTGCCTTTTGCCTAGTCTCTGGAAAACCTGACCAGTCTCTAAAGCAAAACCTATTGTCAGAATGTGCTGACTCAGAGAGGAAGATGAAACAAAGAATTCATCTCTTCCTCCCAAGCTTTTACCCTGTCAACAGTTTAATACTGAAAGATTAGTATTAAATCTAATTTAATACTAATTAGGCAACTGGTTTTAAAAAAGGTAAAGCAGTCACCAATGCCAAGATTCCTTTAGTGCTTTGCAGAGAAATATATCCACCAGCATCACCCTCCGTAAGAGGTCACGGTAAGGACTCCTAAAACAGAATATTCTCAGTACAAACATCACTGTCATTCCACAATGACCACCTGGAAGCCAACGGGGAACACCACATTGCAAAAGGACTTACTTCAAGCATTTACAATATAAAATGAACCGGGATTTGAATAGAGAAGGTTTCTTTTCATGTGACCTCATTTTGATGTCAGGGTCAGAAGTCTTTAGTTTGATATTCAAACAAGACCATGTTATGCTAAGCCTTTTATCAACTCTTCCTGGTAAGCAATGTCATTATGATTCAAAGTAAAGATTTCACAACTAGGAAAACGAAGAAAAGGGACCGTGGCTGGTTGCTTGTTCAGCCTATTACTCTGCTGAACAGAACTGTGAATGACAACATTAAAGGCAAGCAATAAAGACACATTGGCAATAAGGGAGACTTACCACTACTCTTGAGGCCAGATCCATGTATCCCAGCTTTTCAAGGAGGTTATAGATGAGGCCAGTCTGGAACAGGGCTTCAGTGATGGGTGCGGTATAGGTCTCATTTCCAAGGTAATCAATCAAATCAAAGGCCCTCTGAAGAGATACCTTGCCTAGGCTAAAGGGTAATAGAACAGAAAAGTCAATATGCTGAGGGAGAGGAACTCTATAGGCATGCAGAAAAACTTTATGAATAGATGGTGAGTCTTGAAGAACTAAAATTTAAGCTTAGAGTGGAATTCTGCAAAGTTAGACTAAATATTATTATCTTTGATTAAGTTCATGTGTATGACCCAAGGTTAAAGATACATTTCATGAGAAAGATACACAAGAGCTCAAGTTTTATTGCCTAAGTCACCTGTAAATTGCTACTGACTCATGAAAAGTATTACCCTGTCTTAAGTGGGAAAAGATGAAGAGTACTAATTTTATTTATTTATTTCTTATTTATATTTACCAAGTGAGGACAAGTGGCATAAAGAGGATTTGAATCAAAAAGAAAATATTTCATTATTTGTACGGGAATTTGTCAAACTTGTTACAGCAACGTCCACTGTGAATTTATGGTGAGTATATTTTAAAAATTAACCATTTAGGAGAAATCAAAACAATGATGGCTCAGATGATGTAAGGTCACTTCATAAAAAATGAACCAAAATAAGAAGGTTAAGCACAGTCAGAAAGAACATTTTTGAATATTCCATGTGTCTCTAGACCCATTAACAGCCTAAGTTGGTAATCTTACTATGCAGAGGATATCTATACACATCACTGCCGTACATGGTTTTGGGACTCTGTAATGCACGGAGTGGTTAGGAGGCAAGCTGTACAGAAGTAAGAAGGCCCCAACTCTCAGACCCATCACTCAAACCAGCGGTGGGCACTAAGCTTCATGCCTAAACTAAATGCTATTTGAAAGGAATTCTCTCATGAAATAAAGCCTGAACTCCTACCTTAATTTATTCAGCAAACATGTGTCCTACTTGTTGGTTTGGACAAGTCTTAAGATATGACTTAAATCTTGTTATTTAACTGTTCACTATGTTTGTAGTGGATGTTTCTATATAGATTATAACACCCCTGAAGGCAAGGATTATATCTTATATCTTCCCAATCATCCAAAACAAATAACACCTAACAGGCAATACATGTGCTAGTTCTTTTGAATTTTTTTTCTAAAGTGTTCTTTTCGGCCAAACATTTGTTTAAAAACAAACCAACCAACCCAAACCAAGCACACGTACGCTGCAAGTTCAAAGATGTTGTTGATGAGGCTGGCTCGGTCTTTGTCACTCAGGACATAAGGATTTGCTTTCAGCTGTTTGATTAGTGCTTCCCAATCATCATCCTCATAATGTACAATATAATAGCCATTCATGTTTGTATTGACTTTGACCCACTGCACTTCTTCTGTAAGATTGATGACATCTAATACAGACCAAAAAATGAGAGAGAGGAGAGATAACAGGGGAAGAAAAAGTATTGAATGGACGTTTTGTTTGTTTCAAAGTTAATATAGTATATTGTTACATTTAATTATTCTACTAAGAACCTAAATGTTTGCCTTCTAGTGCAGTTATTTTAATGTTAGCAAAGATCACCACTCATTCATTTTTAAAAAATTTTTTTTACTTAAATTCAATTAGCCAACATATAGTACATCATTAGTTTTTGATGTAGTATTCAACTATTCATTAGTTGCGTATAACACCCAATGCTCATCACAACACGTGCCCTCCTTAATGGATAAAGAAGATATGGTATATATATATACAGAGGAATATTACTCAACCATCAGAAAGGATGAATACCTACCATTTACCACTCATTCATTTAACAATTATTTATTTAATGGTGAACAAGTTAGAAATGCCCCTTCTTCCACAGATCTTACTCTAATGTAGCCAGGCAAAGAGAGTATCATCTAAATGTTATTGATGGAAAAAGAAAACATAGCATTCTATGGAAGAACATAGAAGAAAGGCTTCACCACCTAGTGTAGGTTAGGAGAGATTTCTGGGAGGAAATGACATCCAAGTTGAGAGTTCAAGATATACAGGTGTTTTAAGCAGGTGATGAGGGACCCTAAGTGTTCAAGGCCCAGAGATAAAGTGTACATGTTGTCCATGCACTGAACTGACTCCCAAGTTCATTGTGGCTGGAGGAGAGAAACAGGGAGAAAGGGTAAGGGTGTGTAGGGTGAAGCAGGGAAGATAGTGAAAGAACTATGTAAAATGTGTTCCATCTCAGTCTTTGTCTTTTATTACACCGGAGGAAGAATAAATGAAGCCATTTAGAAAAGTCACATAATTCAAAGCTAGCAAAAATAAACATTAGGGGAGGATTAAGATCTCATTAAGCACAAACAAATAACTCAGTTAAAATAATAAAAAAGTGATATGCATTTTTTGGGTCCCTACCATTACATATATAAATGCTAAAAGAATTGTTGGAAATTTATATAAAATGATTTCAATTAATAAGGAGTTATAAAATATATGACTACAAAAATATATTACTACAAAATCTGACTACAAAATATATGTAGGAATTTTTAAAATCCTTTAAATTACTATCAAGAAAAGTCCTTTAAGTAAGTTGGCAACAAAGACGTGGATTTAATATAATAGTTAAGGGTATGCCTCTAAGCATCTCCAGATTTACTATTAGAATACAGTTCCATGAGCTTACTATTTTGTTTACGGCTAATCCCTCAGTGCCCAGAACAATGTTCCTAGCAGATACTCAAAAACTCCTTGGTGAATTAATAAATGAATGAACAAAATAACCATGTCAAAGTAAATGTTTCCAAAACAAACCTAAATAAGGTTTATAGATGTTTACAAAGTAAGTTTTCATTCCAATTTTAAAGTAAGGAGTACTAAGTTTTAAAAATTATTGAAGAGGAACAGAGACAAGGAAAAAAATCTAAATTCAGACAATAATAGCTTTGTAGGGTGTATTTCATGCCAAGAGTTTTCCCATACACGTTTTAATTGATGTAATATTTCACACAGTGGATAGATATGCATTTATTTTTATGCTGCTTTTTTACCCATCAGATTCTACACGAAGCCATTTTTCTACTGTCTTCATATGCAGTATTCAAATATCTTCATAAATTCCACTTAAAAACCTACCACAGTTTAACCCATCTCTTATTTGGAAATATTTAGGCTGTTTTAAACTTTTCACTATCATAATAACTCTGTATGATAGTTTTTGCACATAAAATGCTTTAGGAACACATTTAAATTTGGTACCTGAAGTTGCAGGGTCTATAAACTTCAAAAGCATGAATTACTAAAATTTATCAGATTCTCTTAATACCTTAGTTACTCCAATTCTACTGAAACTACAAAGGATGTTTAATATGGAAAAGACTTACATTCTGCTCATGTCTTAACATGACATACCAGATAATCAGTCTTTTTCACTAAAAAATTCCATACTAATTTGTGTTTTATGGCTGATACAGCAGCAGATGGGAAAGATCAACTACATTAATAGGATTTATTCCTTTTCATAGAGCAGAATACGGTTCTAAGGAATTATTGTGAGGACAAAGTAGATGCTCTAGGTTGGTGACGTTTTAAAAAACAATGACTAATGAAATTAACTTTATCATTAGCTATGGCAAAAATATCGACGTTCTCCAGGTCAGCCAACACAATTTCCTGCAGAGCTTTTATCAAGAAAGAACCTTGGGAATGAGGACTAAGGAGCTCCAAATCTCCCTTTGCCAAAAAAAGAGGCAAGAAATGGAAGTATGGCAATTCTTCCACTGGATGGATGCAGGAAAATACTGAAATACAGTGTATTTTGGCTGATAAGCAATTTGCCGTGTTGTTACTTTGGCCAAGTCCAGACGGTAAAAAGGAGGAAGGCAGCTGGGAGTGTACTTGAAATTATTACTGTCATCTGGATGACAGAATACAAAGCAGTGCAGCCAACAGCAGAGAGAGGGGAGTTATCATTTAAAGAATCAACATATTAGTCTCCTTCAGGTCTTCTGAATGATACAGAATTAAAGACCTTAAAACCACAGGTATCAAAAAATAATAGTTTTGCACACAAGGGAGGCAACTACATCCTACAGCTCAAATGTGGATGAGGCTACCCTCATATGTTTTTAATTTATCTTAATCATTAGGAGATTAAGAGTTCAATTTTCACAGTTCATTGAATATTAAAAAAGAATAACTCCAATCTTGTATGGCAGAAGCCCAGATGAAGTAATTTAGTAGTGATTTTAAAAACCATTTGTCAATGAGTTATGAAAATCAACTACTGTTTTATACAGAAACATTAAAACACAGAAACAAAAAACAAGTTCTTACAACAAAGTTGAAAAATCGCCTGCGCATCTTGCTCTGGAGGCCTAGAACGATATACACAGCTGAACTACATCCCTTCTTGTTCAAAAACATTCCTTTCTCCAATACCCTTTATACTCCTTTATTTTATTAGGGGGGAAAAGGCAAGAGCAAAGGATGGTACATGATAAATATCTTAATTATATGCCCTTCCTTATTCTTTTTTTCCAAATATGCCTTTCATTCAAAGACAATGACAGGTCTAGTTTCAGATACATCCTTCTGGCACAGTGATATCATGAACGTTTCACATTCAACTTAATATAAAGATTTCCTATAGTTAAAGAGCTTAGGAGCTTAGGTATGAGTAAGATGTGGATGAGAGAGGGGATGGGGAGGGAAAAGGGGTGAAAAGGAAGAGAAGGGGGAGGGAGACACTCGCCATTTGAGTTGAGTGTAATTTCCTCAATACATAGCTTGAAAAAATGGCCCCTTTCACACCATCTTATGCCTAACTATTAATCACTCAAAATTCATGTATGTGGGGAAAAGTGACAACGATATTGATCAAATATAACTCCTATTGAACAAATGGACTAACCCAGCAACCCTGGCATTAGAACACATGGAAATATACTATAGATTTAACACATCGCCAAGAGAACACACTGTACTAAAGTCATCTGGCAAAAAATAAGCCTCTGTAGTCATTGTCTCTGCTACATTTCTTTTGAGACTAGAAAAAAATTAAAATGCAATTAAAATAAGAGTGCTTCTCACCGGAGCATTAGGAACCAAGAAGACCCAATCATTGTTTTGTGAGGACAGAACATTTTCAGTGTGGACTCTCAAAACCTGAACTGCCAGGAATTAAAATGGCAGCAGCGGCAGCGGGGGGAGTGACAGTTGGGAAGAGGAAGTAACCAATGCTGCTTTCATCATCTGTTGCCTCAGTTCCAGCTCCAGATTCAACCAATTATATTACAATACATTTTGCATATTCCCCTTTATCAAGAATACTTTCAAAGGAAGGAAAATAGAAGTTATCACTTCATCAGGCTTTGAATGCTCTTTTCCTAAACTTTTTTACAGTGAGATCTCAAATTGAGTCACCTCATGACAAACTAAAATTTATTCATTTTAAAAAATGTCTGTGTGCCTACTAGGTGCTAAGGTCGCAAAGGTGACTCATATAGCCATGACCTCTCCCTTAAATAGGGAACACATCTAATGTGGGGGTAGACATAAGTGAAACAGTACTTACAGTGTATCAAAAGAAGAAAAGTAGAGGGCGGTATGAGAACACAAAAGTAGGCACCTAACCTGTCCTGGCATGAGGGAAGGTGGCCTGGACCCAGCAATGGGCACACTGAGATCTGAAGAATGAAGAGCAGTAAATCGAGGGAGTGGGGAGGCAAAAGTGTTCTTCCAGGAGGGCAAACAGCATGTGTGAGGGCAGGAGAGCACGGCTGAGGTGTGTAAACGGTTTCTGTACAGCAGAAGCACAGAGTGCCAGGGAAGGGCGGAGGGAGAAAAGGCTACACCAGGAAAATAGGAGCTAGACTTTGGGATGTGGATCTTAAAAAGAGTTTTAAAAGCTCACATACAAACTGAGCTAAAAAAGTTAAGGGTAAATAAAAGCAGATTTCTTATTGTCCAATTATTTCTAACACCACCCAAAACTTATATACTATTGGGAGGTTTGGAGAATTTCCTTATCGGTCCAAAAAGGGAGATGGGATTAAGCATCCTTTCTTTAGGCAGGGGCTGTCCTTCCAAGGCCACTTAAAAGTAAGGGGTTTTGTCTTCATCAAAGAAGGCAGCCCTTCCTTGCACCTCTGCTTATGTTATATTAATCAAAGATATAACATTATCAAGTGTTCTTAGCGTTTCAAATAATGAGATTGATTTAACACTCCACTCTATTTAAACTGCAATGCAACTGGCATGCTCACATACCTCAACTGGCATTATAAATTATGGCCACGTCACAGAAAGGCAACTTAGAAATGTATATTCAATCACAAAAGATACCACAGTCTCCATTTCTGAGAAGCATTCCTATGAAGAAGTTCATATAATGACAAAACATTTAAGACCCTAAATTTTTACTGAGACATTTTTTTTTAATAGAGACAAATGGTGAATCAAGTGTCCAACAGTAAGGAAAGATGAAATCAAATATTGTATATGTTTTTTTTTAAAAAGGCAAGATATAAAAATCAACGGTATCAACTAAGTAAAAATATTTTTAAAATTATTAGAAGGAAATAATCATGAGAATAGTTGTGATGAGGTGATCTGTTCTCCATTTTCTAGATTTTATGTAATGTGGATATACTAGGTTTAAAGATTTCTTTTTTAATAATAACATGAATAACAACAGGTAACATTTATATAGCACATAACATATGCCAGACATTATTGTAGGTGCTTCACATAAATGAACTCAATCCTTACCATAACACTATAAAATATGATCACTATCTCCACTCTATAGCTGAGGGAATGAGGCTCAGAGAGTCACAGAACTACCTACAGTCATACAAGTGAACCAAACAATCTGGCTCCAAAGTCATTCCATTAACCACTAGGCTACACTCTCCTCTCAAAAATATAGGCTTGAACACCACATACAAATTCAAACAAGAAATTTTCCCTTTCCATAAACCTACAGTATCACTAATGGTTCCTGCAGGACCCAGGATCTTCATGTTTTTTCAGGATGCAAATTAAGAGGGTGCATGGTGTGGCATTCACAGTGGTATTTAACAAATGGTCAGAAACGACATATTAATTTTGTTTTTCAAAGACTCCTATGGGTCCAACAACATATACAATCTTCACGTTTTCTTATCCCCCTCTTTGCAGTCATAATTTCTTGCCCCATTTTCTTATAAACAAAATATGCATACTATGTTCATAGGACATTTTGTAATGATTATTTACTCTAAATCAACCTTTATCATATGCATAAGAATCACCTAAGGTGCTTATTGAAATGCAGTTGCCCAAGCTCACCTCTAGAAAGTAGATAGCAGACGGTACTTTAAGAGACTGCTCTGCTTCTACTACTTTATACTTGGTAACATGTAATATTTATCTAGGACATAAAAAAACACAGCATTTGCTCTTTTCTACCAAGGCTGCTAGCACACTCAGCGCAACTTTTTATACCTTATTTCCCATGAACAAGAAAGACTAACTTCATACATGATATATGGACCAATCTCACTTTAGTCGTATCTTGTATAGGTGACTCATAAAACCAGCTCAGAGAGTGTACACTTTGGAAAGTATAGTCTCCTTCCTGCTGCTAGGTCAGAGTTTTAAAAAAAATATGCTGTTTAAAATTTCTTATTAGAAAAGAGTTAATTAGAGTCAAACCTGATTTCTTGTCCAGTAAAAATACTAATGGATATTTTGAGTAATTTCTTCCCTCAGTGACACAGGATAGTGGAATATGCCAGAGATAGCTGTAAAAGGAAAATATTGGAAGATTATTACTCTTTCCAGTATTTCAGTCAGTTACACATAATTTATTCGGTCTTTTCTTTTTTTTCCCTTTTGGCAGGAAGGAGAAATTTTTCAAGCTATTCCAAAAAAGATAATCTTGTTAGGTTTCATAGGAACTTGTGATTACAAATACTTTAACCCAAGAGTGCAAAAGAGATAGCAGGAAGAGAAAGCCGGAATGTACCTTGCATCTGAAGGCAGAATTTCAGGCTTCATATTTAAAAAGTATCTTTCTTGTTGTACATGGAGTTCCTTTCCTTTCCTTTGAACAGTCACTAAAGGAAATCCTTTTTGCAGGGTCCAGGTTTTCATCATTTTCTTTACATCTAGTGTTTTGTTTGTGACCTATAAAAAAAAAAGAATAAATTATTTTTGCTTAAAAATGAACAGATTAAAAACTTTACAGTTTGTACCTTTCCCTCTCTGCCTACCACATTCTATGAAGACTACCCGTTCTGTTAATAGAAAACCAGAAGCATGAATACGGAGTTAAATTTACACTTCTAATCTAAGTGAATGAGCAGCTGCTAAAAGGAAAATCACCTGGAACAGAACTAAGTGATAACTAGAGAAAGTGAGAGAAACCCTGCATTGAAAAAGCAATACATCGAGTGTTTGTCTAAATCTCTAAGTAGGGACAAGCACTCTTTCAGCTCACAATACCACCATTTAGAAGGTATGAATCATGACAAATATTCTAGAGTAAGAAGCACAGCTACTTTCTCCTGTGAGTCAGCCTGCGTCCAGATCTCTCTTTATTCCCCAGACCCTCTGCTTTCCATACATATTAGCGTCCATCTTGGAAAGAACTAATACTGTGGGAGTACCAGAAAACAGCAGCAGAGTAAGATGTCAATGGGCCGGGTGCCATGACGTGAAGTTCTCCAGAAAACAGTAGTTACCTGTTTTGATAGTCACAGACGCTCTCTCAGAAACTGCATCCATGTATCTACAAAATCTAGAATCCAGTGTCAGAGGTTCACAGACCCTCTAAAGCCCACCATCCCTGCAACACTGGTATCAATGATTAAGAAGAAATTCTGGAACAACTATCTCTTTAAAGCAGGCGAGTTAACCTCCCAATTCCAACCATTTTTCTAGGTTGCATATGGATTTGAACTTCAAGCACCTAAAATCATTAAGTACTTTAAGTGTTTGGTAACAGTATTGTTCCATGATGGCAGGCCTCACCTCAGCCTCCATATGCCCATTTATTTAAAGCAGAAAAGATGAATCAAATCTATCCAAATTCATTGCAATATTAATATTACATTTCTCATGGCTCTGATCTATTCATTTCTAGATAAGGGATTGGGAAGAAAAAAAACTTTGCCAAAGGCACTTTTGGGCCTTTGACACAGGACAGAAATGAAAAGGCCAGTGCATAATCTGATGTGGATGCTGAAAGACCTGAGGATGATGTTAGGAACGAGGTTGGGGTAGGAAAACACTATGATGCAAAAGCTGAAGTCAGTCAGAAAGGCAGAAATATATTCTAAATGTCAGCAGACAATCAATAAATATAAAGTAAATAATGTGGCTTTCAATTGAAATATTACCATATGATGAGAGAAAAAACTGATTTGGAAGCAACTCTTAAGTAATAGGGACTAATCCATCTTCTCAAAGAGAACTCAGAGAGAAGGGAAGGTATATCTTCTGGGCACAGGGTTAAGAGCTAGAAAACGCAAGGTTTCAGATAAGACAAGGAAGCAGAGAGAGTATATGGAAAACATTCAGAGAAGGAATTTTCTTTCTTTCTTTTTTTTTTTTTTAAGATTTATTTACTTATTTGAGAGAGCAAGCAAGCATGCCCAGAGGGGAGGGGCAGAGGGAGAGAGTCTTAAGTAGACTCTGAGCTGAGTGTGGAGCCTGACATGGGGCTCAATCTCATGATCCTGAGATCCACGACCCTGAGCCGAAACCAAGAGTCAGAAGCTTAACCGACTGTGCCACCCAGGTGCCCCCAGAATAGGAGTTCTTAATTCAGGGCCCTAAAACTTTGAAACTTTGTGTATATATGTGATTTTTCTTGGGAATATGTCCAGAATTGTCATCAAAGTTTCAAATATGTCTGTGATCTTCTAAAACATAAGAACCATTGATCTGGATCAGGGTAACATACTGAAATGCTCGTAAGGGTTGTGCAGTTAGCATACATGCATGATGCAGGCTGGGTTCGCGCACTGCCCTGAAGCCTAACTCAAACCTAACTGCGCTGCTTGTTAGGACATTTGCAGACACAACAAAATCCAAACAGGCAAAATGATCCAAGGGCAATATGTAGCCCATGGCAGTCAGCCTGTGATATATCGTCTGTAAGGATGGCCTTGTAGAACAGGGCCACAGAAGACAGGAGGATTCACAGGGCAGAGTGTAGGAAAAAGTCATGAATCAGAGGTAGATAAAGAAACAAAAGAATAAGAAAAGGAAAAACAGATTTTTGAAAAAAATCAAATAATGAAAATACAGTAATAAAATCTTAATTCAGGAAGGGCAACTTTCCTACAAAGTAGGAATTGTGACTAAGGTATAGAACAAAAGTAGTTATACAAGGCCACACACGATAATCTCAACACTTAAGAGGAGTACTTCCATTTCTTGACCCTTAATTCTGTGCTCCATCCCCCTCTCTCTCAAATAACTACCCTTGGTACCATAGCTTAGTTATATACTTGATAAAAATATAAATAGAAGAACTCTTCTCTAAGAACTAAATAAAGTATTCAGGTCACTTACCTCATTGAAACTATCCCACAGATCATCACTTTGAATGGATGCATAGCTATGATTATGCAGGTAAAAAGCAATAGCATGTTGAAATACATCTTCACTAAGATAAGTTTTCAGCATCAACAAGAGGGAAGCTCCCTATTAAAAAACAAAAGTGAGAAAAGGGGGGAAATAGTAGACTATAATAGGTTTATAGAATTGAAAACCTAAAATTCAAAATATAATTATTCTAAGTATATTCTTACATATAGAGAACCCAGTTATAATACAGTTTTTTACTGTCATATAATCAGAATTGTGTTCAAATTGTCTGAAAAATTATTTTAAGGGATTTGACAAAAGAATAATGGGAGCAGATTCCCATGTGTACTCATTCTATTAAAAGATCGGTTCCTGTCTCAGTGTTATGATAAAAAGCTAAGTGTTTATAAATACATCTTTAATAGAAAAGCATGCCACATTTTCTGGGGAATCCCCATCCCTATCCCAGGGCTCACAATACCAGTTGAATTCATGGGTTCACTGCCACAGATAATAAACAAACAGAACTCCAAAAGCCACGCTGCTGGGGAGTATGTTAATTTCAAGTTTTAGGATATCATGTTGCTAAAATAACCAAGATCTCTCTTCTTCCTGCAAAGTTACTTCAAATATGCTTGGAACTAATGAATGTATGGGGTAGGAAGCATACACTGATAATTCCGAACCCGGCATGCAACTGTTAAGGCTCTTCAGTGACACTGGACCGTCGCTGAACAACATGTCATCATTTCCAAAAAACTTCTTTGTGAAGCCTTCCCTGCTTCAAGATAGAAGCAGTTCTCCATCTTCAAGAGCAATTAGATAGATACACATTTAAACACGTATTTATAGATATAGATATGTATTTATTTCCTCTTCTAGACTGTATGCTAATTGAGGGGAAATCCAAAAAGCTCAATTCCAGTGACTAACACAACACCTAATAACAGAAGGAAATCAAATAGTCTTTGAATTTCACTTCTGGTAAAAATGTAGCAGTATTAAGCCATCAGGATGATCAGATACAGACAACGGAAGTTAACACCGATTACTCCCTTTTTTCTATATCACGCTTCAGGGTGTTACTTGTTCTATCAATTTAATACGTACTCATTCTTGTTCCCAACAGGTCCCTTTCGCCCCTGGAGCGAATGTAATTACTGTTACATTCCCATTAACAAAACTATGCAACATTCCTCATTTAAAACAAATAAAAGATGTCCTTCCTTTCTTTAACCCCATGCCTCTTTCAGTTATCACCCTATTTCTTATTTGCCCTTTGTAGTAAACTCCTCGAAAGAGCTGCCTACATCTGCCATCTCCATTTGCTCTCTTATCACTTTCTCTAGAGCCATCATCAAACCATCACTCCACTGGAAGTGTTTTTATCAAGGTCACTGGAGAACTTCATGGTGTCAAATCAATAGCAATTCCCACACTCATCTTATCAACCTGCTAGCAGCATTTGATATGACTGATCACTCACTCCCCCTTTAGAGTCTTTCTGCACTTGGCCTTGGGTCACCCCTCTTGATTCTCCCCCTATTCACTGGCCATCGTTCTTAGTCTCTTGCTGGATCCTCATCTCCATGGAACCACCTCATTTTGGTGGCCCCTGCATTTAAATTTTAGACCTTTTTTCTTTTCTTTAGAAATTTACTTCCTAGTTGATCTCCGCAGACAACCTACATCAGAGTTAGGCTTGGAGATTAAAAAACCCAGAAAGAGTATGTCTGTCCAACACATTTCCCTAGTGACGCTTACTTGTTCTTGCATACAATATTGGTAAATTATCTGCGTCCTACTTTTCCCAGTTATGTGGGATATTTGCCAGATTCCCAAATCCTGAAATAAGTAGTTACCATACTGACAGGAGTTAGATATGCTGTGGAGACCACATGATCAGAAGACACTGAATTCGGGGCTTAGCGGGTGGGGGTCAGAGGATGACAGAGCTCTGTCAAAACAAATCCTGAAGTAACAGTTCTGTAGAAGAACAGAACCACAAGTTTAAACATTTTATCAACAGATCCAATACGGGCTTTAAAAATCACAGCAGCAGCTCTGATTGGAAGACATTTAATACAGCTAATTAAACTCCTGATTCCTTATTTGTTAACAGTGCTACCATTTTCCGTGCCATTCGGGTGTTAACCTGGAAAACACGGCTCCCTCTTTGTTTACCTGCCTTACCCTGTCACTAAATCCTTCCAGAACTTCCCTTCACCCAGTGTTTTTACATTCATCATTTTCCTTCCACTTTCACTACCACTCCTAATTTCACACTTTGACCACATCATGCTTGGACTTTAGCAGCAACTTCCTGACTTCAGGTCTCCCTCCACTTAAATCTACTTTGTGAGCTGGAACAAATTAGTTTTCCTAAACAGTAACTTTAATCAAGGAATTCCTCTGTTTGAAAATCTTCTAAAGCTTCCCATTGCTTACAGGAAAAAGTCCAGATTCCTGCCCCAACCTACCTTTCTCATCTTTCCCCTGCTCCACATATGGCTTCCACCGCAGTCAAGCATTTACTCCCTAAACAAAATTGTCTTGCCCATTAGTATTCCTGACTTTTTCTTTGTAGACTTCACTGCCTCATTCCTGCCCTACTCAGTGCTTCCCATTCCTCTTTATCTGTACTCTTTTTATTTTTTAATTCCCTTCAATTTCTATTTTCCTCCAAAAAAGTTCTCTTCATAATCCTAGGTAAAAAAAGTCTATACCATTTATTCCACACACATCATCTCTTATTGTTTCACAAGTACCCACCACCTAAACTTCAAGTTTCTTGATGATATGGACTGCATCTCACATGTTTCGTGTATTTCTCTGTCCAGTACAGGAATTCATTTATTAACCAATTAATCTGACAGCCAGAGCAAGGAGGCAAATAAGTCCAAACATTCATGACTCCCACCAAAACTATGAGTGGCACTGTTCTGTTCTCTGACCTACGGTGATCCTTTTTTTTTTTTTTTTTTTAGGATTTTATTTATTCATTTGAGAGAGAGTGAGAGAGCAGGGGTGGGCGGAAGCTGCAGCAGGAGAGGGAGAAGCACACTCCCCGCTGAGCAGGAAGCCCGACCAACCAAGGCTAAAACCCAGGACTCAAAGATCATGACCTGAGCCAAAGGCAGACGCTCAGCCATCTGAGCCACCCAGGTGTCCCTGACCTATGGTGATCCTAATCAGGTTTCTAGTTTTCTGTTTTTGCTTCACTCCCAAACCTGGAGTCTGTGTTTCTGATCCTACAATCTAGTTTTCAGTTCTTACAGTCTCTTTTTATTTACACGTTTTGGCAATTTGACTTTGGAACTTGCCTCAATTCTCAATAACCCAGCCAAGGGCTTGCTTAGAATGCTCCCTGGGTATATTCTACCTGTAGATCTGGAGACTGAACCAACTTTAAAAGATATATTGCTGTATGATCTGATTAACTGCCCAGAATAGCAGTCAGAGAACTTAAATGAGAACAGAGAAATAGAGAAAAACCCAGAAAAGTTAAAACCAAGATTTAAATAGAAGCAAACATCTTAAAGTTTAAAAGCATACGTGAAAATAATTTTAAAATAATCTTTAATCTTTAAAGTAATCTAAATCATGCAGCTTGCTCACATATGAAATTAATTTGAAACCCACTCCAGGTATTTAGTTGTAAGAGCAGTACCTTAAAATAGGAAAGAGAATCAAACATTTCTTCAATCTGTTCTGAAGACTCAACACATGATGATGATATTGGATGAGATGAATTCAGGGAATCTTTCCTCATGGTTTTAAATCGAGCATCTAAGAAATCTTCATACTAGCAAAAACATCAAATAGATTAGGAAACTATGAAAAGTATCAAAGGCAAAAGCAAGTATAGTAATTATTTATATGAATTAGACTAATTACTGTTTAAGGTCATTATAAAAGAAACCATCTTCACTATACTTCAGAAAATAAGCTTTTGAAAATGTAGGAATAGAGGAACTTTCATTCATATTCCTTAAATTTAAAAATAAAATTATAGCCCCCTAGCCACATGAAAAACATTGTTTCTTAAACCACACCATAAGGATAAATTAAGAATCTATTACTAAAGCAACCAAATGTGTCAAATCCAGATAAAAAATCAAAGTAAATATTCTAAAATGGTTAGTGAATATTTTTAAAATAACATCTGAAATTAAAAACAAAAAAACTGGTCCTTAAGCCGACTTCTCATGTATGGTCCAGGTTTCTATTAAGATAATATACATTTCCCTTAACCGAGGTTCATTTGAAATAAAGCATAACACTTAAATAGAATTCACTGATAGCTCAGCAGAGAAGCTCCCCTAGAATATACATTAGAATGTTTTAAACATTCTGGGCACCACCAAGTGGTGAAACTGTATATCTCACTGCTTAATTAACATACATAAATTTAGAATACTTTGCTTAGTATTCTAGCTAAAAAGGAGTTCCTTCTATCTACCTGAAGTTTTTGAACAGGCCTTACACAAAAATTTCAAATTAAAAGCTCTTAAGAATATCCCTATTTTGAAGCAGTCTTGGATCATATATCCAGGAAGTTTAATACAAAGTCATAAAATTTTAGGGTTGAATGGGATCTTTATTTATACTCTCCCACCTATTGTTTGGATTATTTGGCAATACCTATTGTACCATGGCCTGGTGTGTTCAAATATCTCTAAGGATAGGAAACATCTCCAGGGTCTAATAACACAGTATCATTATTATGTTCTCTATGACAGAATGATGTCCCAAGTCTTTGAAAAGGGCACAAAATATGCTTTTGTACCTTAACAGGGCAAATTATTTGTCTGTATCAAACTATGTGTCACTGTGACAAGAAGGATCACAGTAATAACAGAGAGATAGCATTGCTACCAAATGTTTTAATTTTTTTCTCTCTTTATACAAACGATAAAAAGTTTTGTTTTGCAAAAAAGACTTTTCAACTTTATCTAAATTCCTTCAGGGAGAAGGGCCACATGTCTTAAAAATAAAATGTAGCAAAGTGATTTAAAATGTTCACCTTAACAAAGTATAAAATAATTTCACATAACTTCAGCTTTCAATGAAATGTATAAATAAAAGCTTAATTTTCACTGTCAAATCTCAAGAGGTAGAAGATTTATCAGTAACAAGGATCAATTTTATTTTATCTTTCTAGAAATACTTTCATTTCTCCAAATGGCAAATATGCTAGTATGTGTAACAAATGGTGTACTTACACTGGAGAGCTCTTTGAATATTTTTTCCAAAGAGAAATACTCCATGAAAGTAGCAAACCCTTCATTTAGCCACAGATCGTTCCACCACTCCATTGTGACCAGATTACCAAACCACTGTGGGGAAAAAACAAACTACTAACCAACACAATATTTACACTCTTAAAAATGTTCTAATAACTGAATTGTCAGATTAATCACCTATACCCAGATTATAATTACTTAAAAATACAGGTATTAGTAAAAAGAAACTATGTTCAAATTAAAGACTTACAAGAAAATTTGTATACATTCACTCTAAAATGAAAATAAAAATTTTATTATTTTACTCTGTTGAATGGGAAAACAAGCAAGAAACACAATTAGCGTATTTATCAAACACACACACTGTTTACTAGGTAAATAAAAACAGTTTTTAGCCACTTCATTAAAAGTGTTATTTCCTAGATAATGGAATTCTTCTACCTTCTAATGTCAAGTTAGTAAGATTATTTCCATTCTATCTACAACCATCCATGACTTCTAAGAAATAAACTTGTACGTGACAGATTTTCCTACAGAGCCCATGCTTCATGTTTGTCCTCAGTCACCTGAGCAGAGGACAGTATTTACAGGATTCAAAACAGAAGTAATGTTCCTTAAGATAGGTGGCATGCATATAAATAAAGGAAATCAGAAAGATCTTCAAATGTCTTCTTCTATGATAGAACAATAAGAAGGAAAACAATGATAGGAGGCTCTCCTAAAAAAAATGTATCTCAAAAATCCCCGAAATTGAGAGTGGTAGGTAACAGGTAGGTACGCCATTTAGTGTGGCCTAGGGCTCATCTCAAACCAGCAGCAAAATAATGTTACTAGGTATTGAAACGAAACACTTTTGAGAATTACAATAACATGCTTTTCAAAGATATTATCTTTAAACCTGTTTCAGAGGAATATGATTTCTAAGTCTTAAAGTAGAAGTAACAGAAGTGGTGATGGGTGGCCCCAGGCATAACAGACCTAGAGGACATCCCCTAAAGGACAACTTGGCTACATGCCCAAAACCATAACTGTCAATAAGGATGTGTTTCAGATGTCAGCTGGTTATGAAGTGTTCACAAGGGCTCTAGAGCTGCACACATATGGTGTTTGAGACAGGGAGCAAACTGACCAGAGCATGTGCTACTCTTCTTCCACGTCCCCCTTCCATCATGACACCCCCAAACTATACCCAACACTGTTAAGTCCCTCAGCAAGGGACAAAACAAAGACAAAGTGTTGGGGAAGAAAACACGATGTTCACATACCCACGTTAATTTTCTTTCTTTTTCTCCTTGTCATACAAAGAGTACCCTCCCTCTCCCAAATTAACAAAGAACACAGTTTGAGCAGAAGGAAACATAAATCTAGTCCTGACAACTATAGTCCAAGAGTTGTGAGAACAGTGAAATTTAGGGGAAGTGTCTCTCCACCACAAAGCTATACTGAGCAGCCGACATCTGTCGGGGTGAAACAGCTCTCTGTCATTACAGGGCAAGAAAGGAGAGGCAGGTCTTGAGTAGACAGTGGCTTTTCAAGCCCACCGCTGCCAAGTATTAACTATGTGACTGTGGGTAAGTCATTTACTTAAACTGAGTCTCAGTTTCCACATTTGTAAAATGGGATTATCACCTACCTCAGAGCAGTTATGAAAAGTGAGATAATGGAAGTGCAAATGCTTTATATACTGTAAAATCCTATACTAACATTAGATAGCATTTTCATTTGAAAATCAAGTTTGTGTTAGAAAACACAATTAGCATCTAATTCTACTCTAAAACTCTAGGATATAAAACAGAGGTATGAAATATAATATCCTTGGCTACTAATACCTGATGGGATAGCTCATGAGCAATGATTTTAGTAACCAGTTTTCTGTCCGCTACTGAAGAAGTATTATTGTCATACAGAAGTGTTTCTTCTCGGAAGGTGAGCAAACCCCAATTTTCCATTGCTCCTGCTCCAAAGTCAGGAATAGCCACCAAATCTGGACATAAGAAGAAAGAAGTCATCAACTTTCCTTCATCTAGGGCACTCCCTAAATAAAAATATTTTACCCATTGGTTTATCACTGTATATCAAGAGGCGGTGAGGTCCTTCTATACTCAGCAAATGGAACCCTACTCTTGTCTTGTATGCTCCCCACCTGTCAGTCAGTTGAGAAAGACCTGAACCATCCCTATAGAATCACTGTTCCTCTGTCACTTAGCAAAGGAAGAGAAACCTAATTCCTTCACAATGAATCAACTTTCTAGAGCAAGGAGGCTAAAGTGCAGATCCAACATACCTCTATCTAGCTCCAGGTTAAACAGCTCTGACCTGCTCTTGCTTTCCTGAGCTCCCAATACTCAGTTTTTGTTATTTGCATCAGGAATTTCTTAGGAGGTTAGAATTATTCAAACTCCAGACTAAGCCCTAAGCAAATTCCCACTTACACAGCACCTGTATAAGCCCTTGTTATAGCCCCATAAACTAAATGTTTTAAGCTCCACATTCAGATGCTTTTATGGAATCTGAATAATCTTAACAAATATAGACAATTTTTAAAGATTTAACTGTTTCTTAGTTTTCTTTTGAAATAACTTTGGCAAAAGTTTTCTACAAAACATTTGTAAAATGAGGGCGCCTGGGTGGCTCAGTTGGTTAATCGACTGCCTTCGGCTCAGGTCATGATCCTGGAGTCCCAGGATCGAGTCCCGCATCGGGCTCCCTGCTCAGCAGGGAGTCTGCTTCTCCCTCTGACCCTCCCCCCTCTCATGTGCTCTCTCTCACTGTCTCTCAAATAAATAAATAAAATCTTTAAAAAAAAGAAAAACATTTGTAAAATGAATCTAGGTTATAACGGTAATGAAAATCAGAGGCACTGTTTGATTCTTACCCAATTTCTTAAGTGGGTATTGAATTTCAAAGTAATTTTGATAGAATTCAAGAAGCCTCACAGTTGTTTCCAAGGCATGGTGAACTTGACCAATCTTTTCTGGTACAGCATATATAGATACCTAAAAGAAAACATATATATATATATACACACACACACACACACACACATATATAAAGAAAGGGAAAACCAAAATGGCATGATATTCAGGTGAATACTGTGAAACATATGTGAGAACTGAGAAGAGTTTTATGAGATTTTAACAGGACAGAAACTCTTGCTTCCAATTCTTTTAGCCCCTGGAGAATTTAGCAAGTCACTTCCACACATACCACAATGTTTAAAAACTTATTGATTTAAGTTAACAGAACATCCCAAATAAACTATTTTGGGTTGTATTATAGCAACACACAAGCATTTGCCTATCAATTTTATGACACTTGTCTTTTCCATTACCTAAAGCTGCTTTTCCTTACCTATGAGCTATCAAGACTGAAATATTTGAAGGACAAAACAAATTTTCATCTTTTAAGCACCTATTACAGTACCTGGCATCAAGTAGGCACCCAATACAGAGGAGTCACATCAGGGAGTTAGTTCTAAAGCAAACATATAAGGCAGAAATTGCACATTTGTTGAAATTACCCTGGAAAAACCTATTACAGACCAATGCATGCTCTGTCAGTAAGTACGGCACAGCTTATTTTTCTTCCAGCCTCGGGATAGCTTACTTTTTTCCAGTTGTTGGCTTGTCTTCATGGATCATGTTGTAGAAGAAATAATCATACCAAACAGAATCCAATGCTCAATGAGTGGCACAGAGTAACTAAAACCAACTAAGGAGATGTAAATTCATATTCCCATCGCCCATTCCCTTCAGGATACATGCTCACAAAGAGTGGAGGCAGATCCAATCACCCAAGTCATTTAAATTGCTATTCTTTCTCTCTTTTTCTGACTAAGTGTATAAGTTAAACACGTAAGCTGTGACTAACTATAAACATCTTATTCAATAAGTATTAAAAGGCAAATTTTAAGCAATTATGTTAAAAACAATGGGTTTTAAAAAGCATTATCTATTGTTTTTCAGTTGACTAAAAAAAAAAAGCCCTCTATACTCACCTGGGAATGTGAGATATGGCCAAGACATAGCAGAAAATAAAAACTTAAAAAAAAAAAAATCTCAACTAGTGGGAAATAGAGACTTACATCATTTGGACAAAATGCACTGGTGAACTCTAACTCTAATTTAATTCTCTCATTAAAGGACTAAAAAACTGTCGACAATTTCTAAAAGGTCAAACAGATTTCAGTCATAGTTGTCCTTAGGTGGGGCTTTAGTCTAGAGTTAATCACAAAAAACATGGAGGTAACATGGCCTAAAAATTAAAGTTAAAAAATATTTTAAGTAGGGGCGGAGCAAGATGGCAGAGGAGTAGGAGACCTGGATTTCGTCTGGTCTCAGGAATTCAGCTGAATAGGGATCAAACCATTCTGAACACCTACGAACTCAACAGGAGATCGA